GACAGATGCGCTAAAGATGCCCTACTTCTCACCCACACTAGGACTGTTTACCGCAAAGCTGACTTCTCCCACGTTTTCCTTACCCTACCTCACCAATGCCTGCCCAATTTTCATGACTGGTTATAGACCTTTTGATTAGGTTATTTTTATTTACTTTAAGAGGGAGGGGGGGGGGGCAGGACTGCCAACTAAATGCCCGAGAACATCAGGCCCGAGCTTGTGATTTTTCTGCTCAGCCCTCAGCCATGGCTGACTTCGCAGAGACAGTTTTCGCCGGGAGCCAAGAGCTGCCCACAGAAGTCCTGGGGAACGCGATCGACCTGGGGATGTGGATGCTCAAAGGTGACTGGAAGCCAATGCTCGCCTTGGCTTTTGCAGTATTTTCCGTCCTCATGCTCACAGTTGTGCGTATTGTGTGGAGTCAGTCTGCACAAGTTGCCATACTTGCCCGAGGAGTGCAAACGCTGCAGCAAAGCCTTGACAATGTCACCACTCAGGTTGACATGATGAACCAAGGCCTCACTGAGGCAAAGGCCAGACCTCCACTAGAGCCTGCTCAAGTCTCAGACGACCTCAATCAGACCCTGCTGTGTGTAGATGCCAAACTCTTGGACTTGGGCCATGAGACCAAAGTCCTCAAGATGGCCATTTCTGAAGTGCAAAAGGAAGTCCAGGGCTCGGACTTGAGCCACCTACAAGTACTCCAGTCGGACTTTCAGAACATGACGAACAAGGTTGATCAAGTCCAGGCCTCGGCGATGGACCTGAAGACTTTGGTGAAAGACATACAGGGGCTGACAGCCGGCATCCCGGCCCTCGCCAAGACCTGTGCAGCCTCAGGGTTGGAGACACAAAAGCAATTTTCTCTGCACGAGACATTGCTTGACGGGTTGCTCAAGCAAGGGCGTGAAAGCCTTCAACTTTTGCAGTCCGACCACAAAGCGACTCATGAACGCTTAGCTACCATAATTGCTGCCTTGGAGGACGTCAAGAACCTGACGAAGAAGCATGATACGGACCTCCACGTGGTTCGCACGGAGCTCAAACAGCGCTCAGACAACATGCACACGGACCTCAAAACCTTCCATGGCCAAACGAACGCCAATTTTAGAGGGCTCAACGTGCTGGTCCCGCAGTCCAAACACCTACAGGACTCCATCAAGGACATCCTGGACTACTTGAGCCGGAACCACCAGCACAATGAGATCGAGTTGGGCATGGTAAAGGCGACCATGGAGAGTGCCGCGAACTGTGAAGACCGAGTTGTCCGGGTGGAGAGCCTATGCACGGGTCTGACTGACCAAGGGAATGACCATGCGGATGTCTCCCAGCAGATCAGAGAGGCACTGCAGATCCTGATGGAGCATGTGCAGACCATCATGGATAGAACGCCGAAGCTCCCCAAAAGGATCCCACCCTCAGAACAGCCACAACAGCAGCAAGCTCCGAGCGCCTCCTCCTCAACTACCCCGCCGACCACAGTGGATCCTCAGCCGATCCGCATATCTGAGCATCTTCAGGCACCTATGATGCGGGATAGGGGAGATATCTATATGGTCAGAGACCCCCTTCATCAAATGAGCACTCGCGATCTATTGCAGATTCTGTTGACCAGGGGGGGGTCCTTCTGACAATGGTGCTAGGAATCTCTGCGTTCTCGGCAATGCGTTGTCTGAAGCTTTTCTGTGTCTCAATGTTTACATCCTTATAGTTTGAACATCAGCTGAGAACCAAGACACACCAAGCCAGCTCTTTAGCGTCAGGACTGGTAAGGGTCCCAGTTGGAGAGCAGGAACGACTGTAACATAGTTGCCACCAGAGGGACTAATTCATTTGCATGCATGCTGAAATTTTTGCAATCCTAATTCATTGTAAATTGCATCCTGCGTTTTCCATCTGCATTTAATTTGTAAATTCATGGTGAATTCCTTGTAAATTGAATCGTGCATCCTTAATTCATAATTCATAATTCATAAATTTATTTGCTCTGCAATGATTGATAATTCGTTCAAATTTGCAATTGACAATCTGCATTTCTAATTGAACTTCAATTCTGGAATTTGTTGAAGCTGTTGTCCGAGATACGGCTAGGACAAGCTTAATTCAACAATAGTCCCCTGGCGATCGAAGATTGTGAGCTCGTGCAAAAAGAGGGCATGCGCAGCTGAAGCCGAAGCTCGTTAGCGCGGTACCCGCAGCTCCGAAGCATCCAACTGTTGCAGCAGCTCCTACACTGGATCAAGCCATTTGTAGCCGGGATCATGAAGAGACATTGGTGGGAGTTTGGCGCCCCACCTGAACCGTTCCACCTTTGCGTCCAACAAGAACTCAACTCTCCCCGAGAACAGCAGAAAGTGACTAGTAACGAGGTGTCGCTCAATCCACCCCCTAGACCCGCTCACCTTGAGCCGCGAACTGTTTCCCCAGCCTCAGATCATGAGCCCAAGCCTGCAGCGTCTCCGAAACCTTCACAACATGAACATGATACTAGCCCCTGCAGACAACAATCTCCTTCCGAGAGAGATACTTTGAGTGCAAGCCCCGCCAGTGACCCCTCGAATGAAGCTGAGATTGATGACTTAGGGTTAGACCCCAACAGTCTCCAAACTCTATCACAAGCATTGCAGGTTGAGCCTAAATTTGTTCCTTGTGAGACCCTGGCGTACACATTCCTCTGTAAGTCTGGCAGAGGTTCCCCTATAACTAGCTCGGATCTGTGTGAACTGTGGGAAGCCATGCCCTCCAGCCTCAAATACACGGATCCCAAGAATTCTCAAGGTAAGTATGTAATCTTTGGAGCTAACCCTCGCAAACATGACGATGTCACCACTGCCACCACACAAGTACCCCACATTGCGCAAGCCATTGTTGCCTTCATCAAACAATCACATCCAACCTTTGAATACAGCACTTTCTCATTTCGCGCCAACATGGAAACCAAACCGCACAGGGATACTCGTAATGGACCCGGACAGAGCTACATTTGTGGGCTTTCCGAATACGAAGGGGGACAGCTTTGGACGGCCCACCCTCAAGGACATACCAAAATCTCTCATAATGGGGTCTTGCTATCTGGACATGTCCACGATATCAAAGATACACCTACGCTGTTTGATGCTAGGAACACCCTGCATGCCACCATGCCGTGGACAGGTTCAACTCGTGTTGTACTAGTTGCATTTACGACCCTACATGCCCCGACGTCCGCACATGTCAAACAAGCCCTCCTTGAGATCGGTGTCCCGCTACCAACAAGCCCCACTGTCCAAATTACATTGCATGATGTCTTTCGACAGGCTAGCTCTCCAGTAGAAATACCAGATGATGAAGATGACCCCTCCCAGGCTCCGTAAGGTCCAACCCAATTAGTTGCCAGCATTGCATGCCGCCATCATCATTCCTGCTTTCCTCAGGTTCACCTCACACTGCTCGACATCACCATTCCTGCTTTCATCAGATTCATTTTTACGCGCGCCCGTTTTCATACACAATCATGCCAGCTTTCATCAGGATCATCAACGAGCGAATTCATTTTAATTAGTAATTTGTAAATATTTTGCATTCGTTGGGCCTTGCATTTGGAAGCCTTTGAAGTCGACTGCCCCGCACTTTAGTTCTCTGTCGACCAGTCGTCATGAACCCCCAGAGAGAGTTAACACCCGAGTAAACCAGCCTTATCCCAAGCGTGGTCGTATCACCTTCGTGCCCAAAAACCCACAAAAAACCAGAAAAATGCCGGCCGCCCACGACCACCGCCCCGGGACACATGCTTCCATTACTCAACTCGTCGTTACCGATACCTCAACTGCCCGCTGCTACTGCCTAAGTTTCAGGGCCCTATGAACCACTTTTGCCATAGACCACGGGGGTTACTTCTTCGGTCTGTTTCGAGGCTTGTGGTTTGTTTCGGAGAAAACCACTGCCATGGCTCGGAGTTCTCTGACCCTGCCTGGAAGTCCTTTTTGGCCTGGATTCAGCGGCATGGAAACACAGACTACAGTCATGCTGGTGTGCATTGGACCCTGATGCTGAACCACAAGGATGTTTTGACATGCTGCCTGGAACAGTTGCACATGAGATGCACCGCACAGCTTGACTATGGAAATGAGATGCCTTCATACAGTTCAGAATTTGGAATTTGCCTTCGGGCCTGCAAGTGCCAATTCATAATTTGGAATGTGATCTGGAGACCGTTGTCGTGCAAGCAAACAGAAGGCACAGTGGAGATGACTTGTTGACTCGGAACCTGGCTGGTTTTACTGCATGGTCCTACGAATGTTCACGGACAAGGCGAATTATGTTTGGCGCTTCATCCTTTTCTGGACTTTTGTAGCACAACCAAGCTGGAAGGAGTTTTCTTGAGCATACTCTGGGGATTACCCTGGGTCGACTGCTCTTTTCCGCCTGAGTTCTGAATGCTTGGGAAGCCTGTTTTGGGAGAGCTTCCTGGTCCTTGGCGTGTTGGGATTACCATGCTGGGGACTACTGCAGCGGCAACGTGTATCTCTGACAAGCTGGTTTCTGGAACCCTGGGAAAGCTCAGTTTCGGGGCTTGTTTTCCTTTCTGGCTCTTGAGACTACGCCTTTGTTGGGATGTCATTGAAATGCTGGCGCTGTAGCTACACACGAGACACTCTGTCGTGCCTGAAATACACTGCGTTGGAAGACCCTGCTAAAACTGTACTTGGGCACGACTTCTGAGCGATGCGGGCCTTGTGAGCTTTCGGTAACAATGTCCTTGACCCTTTTTCAGTGTTGATGACCACACTGATCTGACCAATATGGTCTAGATGATACTGTTGTAGAAGGTCTGCAAAAGCCCTTCTGCCTAATTTATCGGGCTGAACTTGGCTTGATATGCAAACTCTGAGACGTCAATGTACCCTGCAATGCGGGCTTGTCCTTGCTAAGTAGGAGGCAAAAAAAACCCTAAACCCCAAAACCCCAAAACCCTAAACCCTAAACCCTAAACCCTAAACCCAACACATGGCCGCGTCCAGGCGTTGAGAACGCGGCTTCGGCTCCTCAGCCCGAGCCGAAAGACGAGGCAGGACAATCCGCAGTCCCTAGCCCAAACCCTTCTAAATGTATCTATTAATTATTATCTATTATATATTGATAGTATCTACTATTACCTGTTATATTGATTGTATGTATTAAAGCATATCTTTGCGAGCCAATGGAAAAATTCGAACATGCATCGTGTGTCCTGGACATGATTATGCCGCCCAACTAGCATGCCAGATCGTTGCAGATAGTACGTGGGAAGCGCGGACAACGCTCCCCTCATGACGTGTCTCTTTCCGAAGCTGGTTTGGAACAATATCCGTATCATCCTGGAAGGAGGCAATCCGGCAAGTTAAGCACGCTATCCTTCACATGTCCACCACGCTTGCTGCCTCCTGCCCTGCCACCAGAAAACAAGGCACACACACAGTGAGTCTTTCGAGCTTGCACGCATGAGTTCTAGTTTGCAGGCTGTATATAGGGTTCCTTACTTCACGTGTCCAGACACCCATGTGCATGCGACACATGCACTTCTTGCTCTACGAAGACATGCGCAGATATGTAGTTTATTGATGCGGGTTCGTACAGACTGATGGCACTTGCAGGTGCAAAAACGCAGCCTTATTACGCATGCCATCACGTACCTTGCGTCTTTCGGTAAGTGTATAAAATATTTTGGTATACATATATACAGAGGCTACTCACAGGCTTGTCCGTGTCCAGTCTCAGCAGGAATCTATTTGCTGCCCGTCTATATCTCGTCATCCGCGGGCAAAGATTCCCTGAACCCTAGAACCGTATGCCAAGCTGCAACATCGGAACCCACTGGCCATCAACCCGACAATTTGGACGACTGCGAAGAGAGCCCGACGTAAACCCTGATAAGGTTCCTGTAACCCCTAAACTGTAGACTCCATAAAACCCTATACACCCCCAAAAAAGCCCTTAAGCCTAGATCTCTCTTTGTTGCGCGATCGTAAGCCCCCCCCCTGTCACTATGTGCTCGACATAGGCAAACCGTATCCTCCACCCTTAGCGGGCATGGGCAAAACTGGCCACCGTATTCTCCAGGCGAAAATGGCACGGTATCCTGCACCGTTAATAGACATGTAAGCAATCTGGTCCAATTAGGGAACCCTAAACCCTAAACTACCCTAAACCCTAAGCCTTAATGGACATGTAAGCAAACTGGCCCAATGGCACAAACGGCACCGTATCCTTAGGGTTCAGGCCTTAGAGCTCAGGCTTCAGGGCCTGGGGGATAGGCAAAACCGAGGGCTGAGGAATCAGGAGTTAGCGCTCCGCGTTCTGATGACAGGGTTCGGTGTAGAGGATGTCGATTGCTTCTGTGCTTTGTGAAATGAATATCCCTGATTTCGTAATGATGTGGGATTCTTTGGGCGGCCGGGTGCTTGTCTGTTCTATCGCATCGCTGGACTAGCGATTTCCAAACTGGGCTATATCATCGTAAAGCTTAAACCGAAACCCCCAAATCCTTATAGAACCCTAAACCCTAGAATCAAAGCAGGGTGAGCTTTGTTCTCTGCTGTGCGAGAGGGAAAAAGAATCAAAGCAGGCAGAAAGACCCAAAGCAGAGTGCAGGCTGCCACCCCGGAGGTGTCTGAGGCCAAGCGCCGCTTCGAGGAGGTGGGAACGTGGGCTGGGTTGATTGGTTGAGGATCTAGAATGATCTATTTATCTTTTTTATATCGAATCTTATGGAGTTGACGGGCCCAGACAGGGACTTATAATATGTCCAGTTTCCGAGGTTTACAGTGAAAATTCAGAGCTTTAGAGGTTTAGATCTTTTTGGGCTTTAGGCCTGGGGATCTTTAAGATTCACCCTAACCACCCAGGTGCCTAAAGTATAGGGTACTAAAGCCCCTAGGGCCCTATATAGTAGTTACCTGGAGGGTTTGGGTCAGGGCTTCCAGATGTTGGAGGGTGCAGAGTCGAAGTTGGCGTGGGTTTCATACATGGTCTAACGGGATGCCTACACATACATACATACATACATACATACATACATACATACCTACATACATATATACATACATACATCCAAACACACACACACATATATATATATATACATATGTATATATATATATATATATTATGCATATACACACATGTTTATGTGTATGTACATGTACATACACGTACACACGGGCACAATGTTTGCTGGTTTACATGGTTGGCGAAAACGAATGCAATTATGCCTGTGGGCGGAAGTGGGCTGGCTTGCTATTACTTAGTGTTACTATGCTTTCAATTATTACCACCATTGCTATGATGACTTTCCTCTTCTTGTGGATCACCCCGTTTTGATCGGGAGTCTGGTGGCCACGACCATGACTTCACAGATGTCTCCTGCTTCCCCCTGTAATTAAATCATGTGGCCGCCACATTGCGCAGTTGGATTTCTTGCTCTCTACACTCCTCACGAACATCGTGGTCTTTGGACCCTGCCATTTGCATATTCGGCGGCAGCTGTCCGTCTCGGATCCCCGAATAGTGTGTCTGGCCTGGAAGAGTGTAGTTGGGGGGTGGGGGGTAAAGGTGGGGGAGGTTCTGTGTCCTTAGCACCGAAGTGTTTGTAAATGGAAGTGCTACTGGCGTGCAGTTTTGCAGTTCGACCGCAGCCAATGGGGCACACTGTGTCACGGCAAGATTCTAGCATGAGAGCAACATGTCGTCGACACTTCGAAGAGGTCGCAGTATCGGAACAACGTAAATCACGTGGTTGTGGAGTGATGCATTCGGAGATAGTAGCGAGCCAGGTGCCCATGCTACCTCCAGATTCCTTTTTCCAGTCGGACGACTTGGAGAGATTGAAGCTGGAGGAGCTTCGTCTGAATCGTCCTGGCGGGAACTTCTAAGCGAGTTCTATGTTTGACAACCAACGACATTAGGACGATCAGACCACTGGCTCTACGATTGTTCGTCTCATATTAGGCCAGCACAGACTCCGAACAGTGAAAGACCGAAAAACCCGAGAAGAACACTGAAGGCGCACCAGGGTCGCATCCCCAGACCACCCAGCAGCACCACAAAGGTCAAAACCTTGTCTACATGCAATGCAGCTAAGCCAAACCGCAACGATTTAACCCACAACCTTAACGGTTTAGGGTTTAGGGTTTAGTTTAGGGTTTAAGATTTCATCTGAGAAGCTCTGGCAGCTCAGGCCATCGACGAGGCCCGAGCACTCTTGGTCTGGCTTGTACCAGGCCAGGTTTTTACGCTGTTTTAGAGGCTTATCTGTTGGTTTATCAACGGCTCACAGAAGTTCTAAAACTTGGGTTTTGGGTTTAGTAGAATGTTTTAGAGGGTTATCGAGTGGTTTATCAAAGACTCACGAAAGGTCTGAAGCTTGGGTTTTGGGTTTAGTGGAAGCGTGTCCTAGATTTGGCCACCATAATTTTTTATCTGATACATACATGTTGCTGTCTTGAGAAAGCTGTCCTGTTCATGTTCGGTTTCTTCTGTGGCCTGGAAGGGTTGGTGGAGTTCGTGGGGTAGGTCTTCCACCGTGCTTTGGTGCTTCGGCCGTCACGTCGCTGGAAGGTTTGATTAGGTTCATTGCTCTGGAAAAGTTTGTTGGGGTCGCGGCCAAACCCTACGAACCCTGATCTGTTCATGGACCCTACACGGCCCTAAGTCGATATCCGACCCGAAAATCCTGAATCCTGTGAGCCCCCAACAAGCTCAGCCATTTCCTTCTCCAGCCTCGGACGACGCTCTGCAAAAGGCAGAGAATTGATTTGCTAATATACGTTCTACGGCTACGGACTGGATGGACAAGACCTCAAGCACCATCCCGACAACCATGAAGCCCTAGACCCGAAGCTTCCGGCCACCTAAACCTTAAAGGTCCTGTGTCGATACGTAGAGTGGCTGCTTCTGGGCCAGTCCTCGGCTTCCCAGAACATCTGCCCATATGAGCGGGCATGGTAGATGCAGCAACTTCTGCTGAATGATATGTGCCGAAGTTTCCTTGAGCTCGCGAAGAGGAAATACCCCGGCCGACAAAACTTCGCGTTAAAGAGTGCCCCAAATTTCTAAAGCTGCAGAATAAGGTAAGCTTGACATCAAAATACGGTAGGCAAGGTGCAAACAGTTGGCTCGAAGTGCTGCCTGCAGGAATCTTTAGGTCTTTGGGGTTTGGCCACGCAGCCACAATCATACGAAGCAGGGGCCCTTCTTCGCAGTATTCAGCGCAGTCAGGTCCAGGGGAAGCGCTGTCGCCGGATGAACAGGAGGCACATGACGACTGCAGGGTTCAAGGCTGCAGGGGTCAATCGGCCACTTCTCAAACTTCCGGGAGTGATCCACGTCATGTCTCTCCTGTGCAGTAGAGCCAGCTCCTGACAGTGACCCAAGCGCTGGGATGTTTTCCCGTCTCGGTTTCGACGTCGGGCCAAGGTTATGACAACAATCCTGCGGGTCATAGGGCATAGTTTCTTCGGGTCCTATGAAACCCTAAATCCCAGGTTAGAGGTATGGAGAAGTATGGGCCCCTAATATGGACCCTGAGGCCTTTCTAGGGCCCCTCAAGGGTACATAGAGGGTATATCGTAGGTATGGAAGGGTCCCAGGGTTAAGGGCCCATACTAGAGGCCCATGGGTTCAACCGTAGACTAAACCCTAAACCCTCTCTACAAGCCGGCCTCGCTCTATTCTCCGTTTTTGCTGTACTGGTGGCCAATTCTTGGTGCACTGGTGCTTGCTGCTGCTGGTCCTTCTTGCTTCGACAAAAGAGCTTTCGAGCACTACGGCGGTGCGATCCTCGTATCCCGAGATGTTCGAAGGTATGTCTTTCGTAACAGAGCTGTTCGCAGTGACGGTCGTGATGTTCCGTGGCGATGAGGTTGATAATTTTGCATGGCCCCATCATACTGTTCTGACTGGTTCCGCTTTTACCATCAAGAGACGCGGAAGGTGATCAGACAGTCGATTCCAAGAGATCCGAAACGTGCCCCCCCCAAACGTCGAAACCGAAATGGGTCCTTTCCGCTTCGTGATCTTCCCAGCATGACATTGAAGTGCAAAACTTTTGCCTGGGCTTTTCTTCTGTTGAAGGCTAGCAGGGTCCAGCTCAAGGAAACAATACAGTAGATGGAGTTGCAGTTGGACAGCCTATCTCTGAACTTTCCGGTTTCCAAGCCTGGCGTCGGTGTCGACAATTCTGCAGCTGTGAAGCCTAACACGGCAGGAAGTTCTGCGAGTAGAGCAGGTCCAGGCCTCAGAGCTTACACCTACGAGCAGAGTTGGCCGTCAGAGTCCTGTGTGTGCGTGTGTGTGTGTGTGCGTGCGTGTGTGTGTGTGTGTGTGTTTCCGTGTTTGATTGTTTCGCTTGTTTGGGTTTCTGTGTTTGTCTGGTTCTTGTGTGCATGTGTGTGCACGTGTTTGCTTTAAGAATTTTGTGATTGGTTGCTTGGTGGTTTAGCTGGTTCATCGGTTGGTTGATTGAGTGAGTGAGCGAGTCGGGTGCTTGTCTGTGTGACTGTCCGTTTGTCCCTGCGCCTGTTTGTTTGTTTGTCTCTCTCTCTGTCTGTTCGTTTGTTTGTTGGCGTGGGGAGTCTGCGCGCAGCCGTGCAATAAACATCCGGGAACTTTGGCTGTTTAGAGTCGAATTTAGAGCCCACCCTTTTCAAGTCCGTGCCGTCTTGAAGTCGCCGGCTCTACGATCGCTACAACATGGGAGCTAGGATTAGGGGGACCCTTGGGGATATAGACCCTCTCAATAAGGTCCCTTTTAAGAGAGCCAAAAGTAGGGTTCAGAAGGGGTACCCTTTAAGGGGTACCCCTAATATTACTAACCCTATAAACCCTAAACCCCTAAACCCTAAACCCTAAACCCTAAACCATTACTACCTAAACATGGGAGCTTCTGATTAGAGTCGTGGCTACGCCAGACAACCGGCACTGCAAGGGGTCCCCGTCCTTTCGCCTCGAAAGATGCCTACAATTCCCACACGGGAGTTTCCGAAAATAGGGGGAACCCTTATTTTGGGGTCCTTATAATAAGGGTCCTACTATTTGGGGTACTATATCAGGGTCCCCTATTTTCGGAAACTCCCACACCCCAAAGCCCAAATTGCTTATGTACGTAACCGGAAACCCAAACTCCTGTCGGTTTGCCCGGGATTGTCGGAGTGTGCGCGCCGAAACCCTGTAGGTCCAGCGGTCCCACCTAGGTTAATGTCGGATTCTGCCTTTGAAGGGCTTCGTATAGTTAAGACAGATACTAGCGAACCTTTGTTCAAGGCTGTTGTTGTTCATGTTCTTGTCTATGCCAAAAAAGCAACCGCTGCCATGTGCTGTTGACTCGGATTGATTTGCGCCTTAAACCGTTAACGCTAAAGACTCAGCAGCTGATTTTCAGCTGCGAGCGAAGCTTCAACTGCTCGTTTCGCTTAACTCTATACCGGCTGAAAGCATACCTCAAAAGATGCGGACTGTCCGGGCACTCTGAACACTGACAGACGCTCTTGCAACATCCTCATCTCCCAGCCGTGGCCTTCAACACAACCAGCCCTACTCCATTGTTAGAATCCAACTCTGCATGCTCCTTGACCTCAGCTGCACAAGCGGGCATGCGATGTGGGCTGATTCGAACGGCCTGCCTTGCAGCATTGACCTGGGCATCTCGGGCTGGTTTCAGCTGAGAAGCCTCCGGGTTTCCTTGCTTTTGCTTCGAGACTTTCGGAGCCCCGGCTCCCTTTCATCACTGACGGATTGTCTGCCGGTTTATCATGAGGTGCCCCCCTCAAGGTCACCATGCATGCTATTTCTCCTCGGAGTTCCAGATCTCGGGGTGTTGAGTTCCAAGTGTCCTGATTAGGGACAGCTTGTCAAGCACATGTGCGCCGCGTAGGGTCGTTCGACAGGGTCCCCTAGAAGGTACAGTGCTATCTCGTTGAACACGAGAAACATGTGTGTTTGGCGGTTGGCGAAGGGCATATTCTACACAAAGGCTCCACTCCACAAAGACGAGCTTGGAGACTGTTGCAGTTGTAACGATGACAAAGCCCATTCATTGCTTGATTCTCGTTTGGATCGGTCGTGGCGCGAGTGCCCGAAACCACGAGAATTCCAAATCGCATTCCCGTGTTTTCTCAGTCATCAGTATGTTTACAAGTAGGCTCTAAATCTTGCTCTTGTTGTGTGGAAGACTGCAATTGCCTCCACTTCAATCGCTGATCCTCAGCTTCATCCTGAGGTAGGTGACTTGCCACAGCTGTGTGCACAGCCAGCCCAGTCAGCTCCCTGTGTTGATGACTGCTTCTGGGCAAGCTCGGTGTGGTTATGAAGTTGTCAACATTTTGAGGATTTGCAGCTTCATCGCAGGATTGAAACCCTGGCGCAATCATTAGAAACCCTGCCAAGACATGTTCACCCCCTTCCCTAAACCCTGCTGCAACCTGGCATGAAACTGTGGTGCACCACCACCACCACCACCACC